CGGTGGTAGGTCATGGCATCCAGCGCCCACCCATGTCCTGTAGCTAAAAGGTTTTTTCCCCCCAAGTCTCCATGGGATGTGCACAAGCACCCAACGGCGCACGCGCACACTTCGTTTAAAAACAAACAACACAGCCCCCTCCTCTTTTCCATACCCCCCCCCACTCCTGGCTCGACCTGCGAGAGAGGAACTCTCTGCACCGGGTGGCAGAGGGGGAGGTGCAGGGGGGGCATGGTGGGAGGGCAGCCCGGCTGAAGCTCCTCCTGGAGGGAACCTGATGGAGGACACAATTTGCATTCCTCTGCAGCCCTGGAAGGGGTTAAACCCACGGAGCCTTTTGCTAGAGAGGCTGCTTCTTTGCCTTGCCGCAGGATTGTCCTGTGATCGGCAGTTCCCCTTAACCATGGGACCTCGACGGGACCTCGACGGGACGTCTGATTGCACAACCGCGAGTTATTTTGCTCCGTGGCAAACAGCCACGCTCCCCCCCCCCGCATTTTCCTGCCCATGTGACCGGGGCCTTTTTACTATATCTCAAAAATGCAACAGAAGACTTTTCGCAAACAGACTTTCAACAAATGTTCACCGTTTTGAAAGTTGGTTTGTAAAAAGTATACAAAAAGAGACCTTTGGGAATATAATGAATTTTTAATAGATTGGACTCCTGTAAAATGAACATGAAGAAGGAGGAGGAGGCGGAAGAGGAGGAGTACTCATATACTGCACCTTTCACTCAGAGTCTCAGAGCAGCTTACAATCTCCTTCCCTTCCCTTCCCTTCCCACAACAGACACCCTGTGAGGTAGGTGGGGCTGAGAGAGTTCCGAGAGAACTGTGACTGGCCCAAGGTCACCCTGCTGGCTTCATGTGGAGGAGCGGGGAATCAAACCCGGTTCTCCAGACCAGAATCTGCCGCTCTTAAACACTGCACCAAACTGGATCTCATAGTGTACATAGTGCGATGTGGACGATGTGTGATGCAAAATGAATGTCTTACAGGTACGGTGCTAGTCATTTGGGTCTATAACTCGGCATGTCAGAGCTTGGTTTCTATTGTTTTACAGACCTGGGCCACTGATCCAGTCATTCCAGTCCTGTCAGCTCCAATACTTCCCAAACCATATTTGTTGATTTATTTTATTTTAAGCTTTTCTAGGCAGCATTTCCGCTGGTTAGGGTTGCCAGCTACATGCCTACAACCCCGCAGGAGACTTTGGAGGACAGGGCACGTGGGGGAAAAAAACCGATTTGTATGTGTCAGCATCACTAAGTTCTGGCTAAAACTGATAATGATATCACTGACGATCTACCATTTCTTCAGTCTCTATGGTGAAACTCGAATGAGACAGGGGAATGGAGGAAAGACGTTATATACGTATTGGCCTCAGTTCTGGCTAAACCCGGAAGGGACACCATTGCTGCTCTAGGATTTGACCAATCTCTATTGTAAGAGACTGGTGGAATCCTAGAACATCAATGGTGTCACTTCTGGGTTGTAGCTGGAACTGAGGTCGACACACACATAACGTCTTCCCTCCATTCCCCCTTCTCTTTCGAGCTGTGGTGGGAGCCGGCAGGTGGTGGTAGGGATCAGCTGCCATAGTGGGTGGGTCGGCAAACCTACATTCCATCCATTTAGGGACCCCAAGTCGGCAAGCCATAAAAACATTTACACAAGTTATAAACACATCTGTGTTTTGGGGTTTTTTTTGGTTTTTTTAAAAATCAAAAACGATTAAAACAATCGTAGACCACTGGGCGTGAAGAAGCTTAAATGAGAATCACTGAGGGAACACCAGACAAAACAAAAAGTCTTCACTCGCTAGCAGAAGACAACGATAAAGGGGATAGTCAACCTTCTGGACTGACTTACCTGATTTTATCTTGACATTTTAGCATAACTACCTCCACTTTACAGTTAGAACCGGATATGGAACAACTGATTGGTATAGCATAGGAAAAGGAGTACGACAAGGATGTATATTGTCACCTTGCTTATTTAATATATATGCAGAGTACATCATGCGAAATGCTGGCCTGGATGAATCACAAGTGGGAATTAAGATTGCTGGGGAAAAGATCAACAACCTCAGATATGCAGACGATACCACTCTAATGGCAGAAAGTGAAGAGGACCTTAAGAGCCTCTTGCTCAGGGTAAAAGAGGAGAGCGCAAAAGTGGGGTTGAAGCTCAACATAAAAAAAACTAAGATCATGGCATCCGGCCCCATCACTCCTTGGCAAATAGAAGGGGAAGTCGTGGAAGTAGTGACAGACTTCACGTTCCTGGGATCCCAGATCACCGCAGACTGTGACAGCAGCCATGAAATTAAAAGACGCCTGCTCCTTGGGAGGAAAGCGATGGCGAACCTAAACAGCATGATAAAAAGTAGAGACATCCCCCTGCCAATAAAAGTCCGCATGGTCAAAGCAATGGTATTCCCAGTAGTCATGTATGGCTGCAAGAGTTGGACTATAAGGAAGGCCGCGCGCCGAAGAATAGATTCTTTTGAACTATGGTGCTGGAGAAGACTCTTGAGAGTCCCTTGGACTGCAAGAAGATCAAATCAGTCAATCCTAAAAGAAATCAACCCTGACTGTTCCCTGGAAGGCCAGATAATGAAAATGAAGCTCAAATACTTTGGCCACCAAATGAGAAGGGAGCACTCACTGGAGAAGACCCTGATGCTGGGAAAGATTGAAGGTCAAAGAAGACGGGGACGGCAAAGGATGAGATGGTTAGACAGTGTCATCGATGCAACGAACATGAAGTTGAGCAAACTTCAGAGGATGGCGGAAGACCGGAAGGCCTGACGGGAGCTGGTCCATGGGGTCGCAAAGAGTCGGACTCGACTGTGCGACCGAACAACAACAA